TCGAGCTTACAACATAGTTTCCTTTCATAAGGGAACCAAAGGTTGGAAAGGCGAGGTAAGTTTGCCAACAACCTAGCCGTTTGAGCAAGTATCGATGGAGGACAGAGGGTTAATCCGCGACGTTAATCCGCACTGGGATTACACCCAAAGACTTTAGGAAAGGCAACCGCCGTGGGCGCACAGCGGCCGTGAGCGCACAGCGCGCACCTGCAGGCTTTGCGACTGTGGGGCGGTTGAAGACGAGATGCATGCTCGTGTGGAATGCCTGGCGTACACTACTACGCGGGCTAAGTACGAACGTGACCTCGTGTTTCAAGGGCGCGACATGCGCATGATTATGACCGAGGCCCCACTCCTGGCACTAGCCAGGTTCCTCTCGGAAGTCTGGGAGACCCGGCACGTTGCTCTAAGGCGCTTCGTGCTCAAGCGGACGAGGGAGGACGATGATGGTCCATCGTGTAACCGCACTAAAAAACTTACCGTCCATGGGGGCCCCGGCTTTTGCGGACACCCCTGCACAAGTGCTTGTGCGGAACTTGTAAACTAGTAAACTTTAGGAAAGGTTTCTAGTGTGCAGCGAACCTCGGTTATTTTTGATAATCTCACTTTCAGAGCTGCTGGCCGCCTGCTAAACATGGTACTGCTCGGTTTTGGTATGTGCTCGTGTGCACGCCATTGGTTTTGCTCTGCATTTCGTAATCAACTTCCCGTCCCCGCCTTGCTTTCTTTCCCTTGGCGAGCATCGCTCGCCTCTTCGATATGACCCGATCATTGGCAGGTCCCATGCTTGACGTGTCCAAACACACGCGCTCTCTCTGCTTGCTTCTCATTATTCCGCCCGCATGAACCTGGGGCTGCAACATGAGCGGTCCTGCTGCTACCGCTGCGTCTCCTGGAGGTGAGCACGCTTGAGGGGTGCGACTTCTGGCACGTGTGTCCGGGCAAATGTCTTTTGCAAATGTGCATACGGCATGGACCCGGCGATGTTGGCGAAGGAGGAGCCACGCACACGGTTAAGGGTGTGTCGAGATGAAGCCAATGCGGCGGCGGCGGTGGTCCTGGAGCTGGTGGCGGTGGATGCTGTGCTAGGCATGGATAGGCCAGCAGACCGAAGGGCCGGTGTCGAACATGGATGCAACGGTAGTACCACCTACGTATCGGGCAGTCCTGACTCATGGATTTGGCGCAGCAGCGGCAACACACGTTGCCGCAATGACACTCCTGCTTTGTGTGTATGTCATTCTACGGATTGCCGCATCACGAGAAGGCTAACTGTTCAGTCAATAATGATTATGCTATGGCGGCTGCGTGCTTGCGACGATCCAGACAGGTCTACACCGCCGTCGCAAGTCTGCCGACCTTTACTGTTTGAGGATTTCAATAACAAGTGTGTACTCCAAGCGTGGCGGCGTTCTTGTGCTTGCACTCCTATGCCGTACGGACTGCCCTGCGAATCAAACGGGGGTCAAATGGCTGCACCGGGGCCGAGCCCCTTTTCGCTTTGAAAAGCCGCCCCCCTGTAATGTTGAACCTCTTGGAATTTCCCTGGTACGCTCCAGATTGGCGGGGAAGCAGTAGACCTTTTTGATGAAGATAACGCAGATTTTCTTTCATAGGGTGTCAGGCATTGGCCATTTCTTCCGTCTGCAGGAAAAATGGTTTCCAACACTGTGCACCTATGCAACCTGCTGTCACGTAACCTAAGCTGAATATGCATCAGCACCTGATGTGCAACCTCTAGTCGCTGCACCTATCGGAGCCCGTATTGCCCCATACACATTCACCATACATCCCGCAGCAGCCTGTCCCAGGGTGATGTCGCATGTTTGCAATATACTTACATTTATTACCCACACGGGAGGGGTCTGCAAATCCCAGCCCCGTGTATGTATTGCCCTTGCGGAGCTGCTCCCGTGATGATTGATTCAGATCACACAGTCACTACAGCTAGCTGGCGAGTATGTCCAGATGGCGCAATCCTATTACGGTTATTGACCATGTGGAATGGGAAGCGAGCGAGGCCCTTAGCTCATCACAGCATCGGAGTTCACACCGCGCCTGCTGTTGGTCAATCCCAGTTGGTGTCGTAACGTTACATGATTGGCTCGCAACAACCACGAGCGACATGGACCATATCCCTGATACCCGCACCAGTGCTTGCTTGCTAATGCTAACCCTTACCTTCAATGTGGCTTAATTAAGTAACAACAGAGCTTAGCACACAGGAATTCGCGGTCGTTTGGAGCTGTTCGCCTCCCCCGTTGTTCACCTTCCCAGCCACACACACACCCCAAGCAGAAGTCCGCATAGCATGCTGTATATGCGCCTGTGAGATCTTATGGTATGAAGATGCTGTGCCGACTAATCCTACCTCGCTGTCCATCATGCCACAGCATGTCACGGCTCCCGGATCAGGTCAGCCACCAGGCAAGGACAGCGGACTATCAGCTGTCGCAGATCTTCTTCCCCCAACACCACGCTCTTCTTCTGCCGCAGCAGCCGCAGCTTCAGCTGTGGCACCAATGACGTCATGCCGTGCTGCTCCGCCCAGAGAAGATCCGAAAGCACCGACTGGGGGGTCACCACAGCCAGCAGCCACTTCTGCAGCTGCCCCACGCAATATTGCGGCATCAGGAGCCGATCCGCGAGAAGTACGGCAGGCCGCAGCAGCTTGTCTGGCATGTACAGCTCCCCCGTGTACATGTAGGCCAGCAGCCACTGGAATGCAGCCGGGTCGGCATCGGGCAACTTAACATCCTCAGCACCACTGTCTGCGAAGCCGCCTCCTGGCACCAGCAGCTTCTCGAAGTACTGACTGTGACTCACAAGGGCCGAACGATGTGCCACGAAGACAGTGCCATCGCGCGTGTGAATATTGACGGTGGCTGGGTTTACATCCGCCCCTGTTGCACACAGCAGGAGTGTCCGGTGCAGCTTCGAGAGGGCGGCAGACGGCCTTTGCCGGGGCGCGGAGTGGCTAGCCTTGATGCCGCCTGACGTGGGGCTGCTGGGCCCCAGCTGGGGCCCTCGGATAATCCTTAGCCTGGAGCCCTTAGCGCCCACAGCCAGCTCGCCACTGGGCAAGGCAGCAATAGAGCACTGGTCTGTTGGGAGCCCGGTAAGTGCCGTACTGACGTAGCCACTAGCACTCATGATGCGGAACTTGTCACCATCGAGGATGTACAGCTGCCGATGTACGCCAGCCAGGATGGCAGTGATGCGGGTAAAGCGTGCTTTAGTTTCAGGACCATCCGTGTTGCCGGTCGCCTGCCAGTCGCCAGCTACAAGGTTCACCTTCGCTTTAAGCTCACTGGCAGCTGTGCTCATTGGGGTGGTACGCTCTCCTCCGTTGGCGCCAGACACATGCGCCGAGGCAGCAGTTGTAGTCAAGGTGATTACATCAATGCGGCAGATCGCACTGGCCGTCGTGGCAAACAGCACATCAGCATCATCATCATAGGACAGCCCAGTCCACGAGGAGCCAGTTCGCGGCGCGGAGCCCGGCAGGGTTGTCACCTGGCCGC